GATCCTTGAGAAAGTAGTCGCAGACCAGCTGTGTGATTTTCTCCATGATAATAATTTATTTGAGGAATTTCAGTCAGGATTTAGAGTGCATCATAGCACTGAGACAGCACTAGTTAAAATTACAAATGACCTTCTGATTGCTTCAGACAAAGGACTTGTCTCTGTACTTGTTTTATTAGATCTTAGTGCGGCGTTTGACACAATTGACCATCAAATTCTACTGCAGAGACTGGATCACTTAATTGGCCTAAAAGGTTCTGCACTAAGCTGGTTTAAATCTTATTTATCTGATCGTTTTCAGTTTGTTGACGTTCATAATGAATCATCCTTACGTACCAAAGTTTGTTTTGGAGTTCCGCAAGGTTCTGTGCTCGGACCAATCCTATTTACTCTATATATGCTTCCTTTAGGTAACATCATTAGAAATCACTCTATAAATTTCCATTGTTATGCGGATGATACTCAGTTGTATTTATCGATGAAGCCAGAAGAAAGTAATCAATTAACTAAACTCCATAACTGCCTTAAAGACATAAAAACTTGGATGAGCACCAATTTCCTGATGTTAAATTCAGACAAAACTGAAGTTATTGTTCTTGGCCCCAAACAACTCAGAGACTCTTTATCTGATGACATAGTTTCTCTAGATGGCATTGCTCTGGCCTCTAGCACTACCGTAAGAAACCTCGGGGTAACGTTTGATCAAGATTTGTCTTTTAATTCTCATTTAAAACAAACCTCATGGACTGCATTTTTTCATCTGCGCAATATTGCGAAAATTAGGCCTATCCTGACCCGAAAAGATGCAGAAAAATTGGTCCACGCTTTTGTTACCTCTCTGTCTCTCTTTGGTTAGGGTTAAAAACCCTTAAAAGTGCAGACTCAGTGCTATGAAAAGCTTTAAAACCAGACTGAAAAATCTCAAGGATACTGGCGTGTACTTCTAAAAAGGACTGCAGTTGTAAACGTACAGTTTTCTCTAAGATTCTCGAAATAAATGGAAGCTTTGAGATAGGTCTATATTTAGATAGAACCCAGATGTCAAAATTTGGTTTCTTTATGAGGGGTTCCACAACTGCTTCTTTAAAATATGTTGGGACAACACCTGAAGCAAGACTGCTGTTCATATTTTTTTGAACATTAGGTCCAATAGTCTCCCAGACCTCTTTAAAGAAGCGGGAAGGGATAATGTCTGTGGGACAGGATGAGGGTTTGAGTTGAGTGACAATTTTAGTGAGAGATAAAAGCGACACAGGCTCAAACTGGTTTAAGACAGTTGAGCAAGTAACAGCTATGGAGGAGTCAAAAGAGGGGGGTGAGATATGGGCTCTGATAGTGGCAACCTTGTCAATAAAATCGCGGTGAAAATCTTCACAGACTTCAGAAGGAGCTTCCAAACAGGTGGATTGGGGAGCGTTTAAAATCAAATCAATAGTTTTAAAAAGAACACATTTTGGGAAATAATATCAGAAAAATATACAGTCTTTTTGCTTTGACAGTTCTCTGATATTTTCTCCAGCTTTCCTTAAGAATTTCATAAGACACATGAAGCTTATCTTTCTTCCACCTGCGCTCAGCTCTCCTGCACTTGCGTCTGATCGCACGGGTGGTGTCATGAAGCCATGGCTCAGTTTTGGGTCTGGGGCACATGGCTTTGAGAGGAACAACAGTGTCAAGAGTGTCGGCACAGGTGGAAAGAAAAGTTGAGGTCAGTTGCTCAGTGTCAAGGTCAGCAGTGGGCCTTGTGTCAGACTGATTTGCATTGATAAAAGCAGAAGAAAACTGAGCAGCGATGGAAGATATTATTAAACGGCAGGGGAGCGCACGGTTTAAAACCATGACAGGGCAAGTTAAAATCAAATAAAACAGGCATGTGGTCAGAGAAAACGGCATCACATACCCGAACATTAAAAATGGGCAGACCGTGTGATAAAACAAGGTCTAACGTGTGTCCATGTTCTTGTCTGAGTCCAGTAGCATATTGTAAAAGGTTAAAATCATCAATCAGATGGGGCGTCGGTGGCTTAGTGGTAGAGCAGGCGCCCCATGTGCAAGGGCCCGGGTTCGACTCCAGCCTGTGGCCATTTCCTGCATGTCACTCCCCCTCTCTCTCCCCCTTTCACACTTGTCTGTCCTGTCGATTAAAGACTAAAATGCCCCCCAAAAAATATCTTAAAAAAAAAAAAAATCATCAATCAGATCTAAAAATTCTTTAGCCAGTGGCTTAGAAGGACAACAGACATGCACGTTACAATCACCAACACATAAAATTCCGTCATAGTTTGTCATGATACAAGCCAAAAAATCGAAGTCTTTAGTAAGATGACTGTTATATTTAGGTGGCCGGTATAACACTGCACAAAGTACTGGGTCCGACCGGCCCAGTTCAAACAAGCTTAGTTCAAAAGAAGAGAAAGACATTGGAGGCAAGAGCTTGCAGTATAAACTGTTGTTAAAAACAGTCGCTATTCTTCCACCTAGACCAGTGGTCCTCGGTGAATTAAAAAATGTACAATCTGGAGGCAGGGGCTCTGTGAAGGCAGCTAACTCACCCACACTTATCCAGGTTTCCGTCAGAAAAAGTACATCCAAGGCGTGTGAGGTGAAGAGGTCTTGGAGAATGAAAATCTTGTTCATCACTTATCTAGTGTTTACCAGCGCACATCCAGTCGAAACCGGTGAGACGGCTGGGAACTCTGCCATGTGAGTTATCTGGCTCAGTGGCTTGAGGTTGCGCTGGTTGACTCCACCAAGACGCTGGAGATGAGGCAGGCAATGGCGCACAGCATAGCGCTCTTCATATGGGCCAACAACAGGTACCAGCTAGGTGCCAACCGAAACGAGGGCGCGCCAGGACACAAAACGGCGAAAACAGGCTCCATATTCCTGCGAAATATAGCTGGGAAACTGAGCCACCCCGGGAGAGGTGGCCAACCAGGCTTTGATCCTGACTAGCCCGCCGCTACATGTCCCTCTGCGTCTGCACCTCCGGGGAAGTGGAGCCCCAGGACGGAACAGGTGCGCAGGGACATCCGCTAAAAGTGGAGGAGAAAAAGTTTTTTGATCACCCAGGCCATACTTACCAAAAAGTCCAGTGGTTTTGATTTTTAGTAACTACTGACGTTCATACACCAGAAGAGAGTTTATGGTCCTCGTAACAGACGCAAGAAACAGAACAAACAACACAAAGCTACTCAAAGCTGGTAAGGTAAGATAAGGTAAGGGTAAGATATGGTAAGGTAAGATAATATATGGTTAGATAGGGTGAGGTAAGATATGTTAGGTCCTTCTAAGTTAGGTTTAATCTAATTCAAATAAAGTACTTCCTGTTTCTCCTCTTCTTACCAACCATGTTGACCTTCCCTCAGACACCTGGGGTCCGTTTCACAAAGCAGGTTCAACAAACTGAGTCTAATCCTGAACTCTGAGTTGATCTACTCTGAGATAGGAAACTCTGAGTTTCCGGTTCCAGAACAGCTGATTTGAATCAGTTCAATCAACTCAGAGTAGTTTCACCTGGAGTTAAGCGCGTGCACCACAACTATAAAAAGCCTGCATCAATGGAGCCCCGATTCAACGAGTCACCATGGCAACGGGGAAGAGGAGGGCTGCGTTTTTCAGCCCATTAGAATTAGAAGTCTTAATGCACTCATATGGCGAGTTTGAACACGTTTTCAAAAAGAAGTGCAACACCGCTGCAGCTGCAAAAGAGAAGGAGAAGGTGTGGGAGAACGTTGCTGCTCCGGTCAGTGCTTAAGTTTAAATGTAGTCCTTTGCAATCACAATAATATTACTGGGGAAAACTGCTTGAATGGTAGCCTATTAATTTATTTCATTTAGGTGCAATCCCGCGGGTGAGAAGCGCACTTGGCAGCAGTTTAGGATGAAATATAAAAACATTGTTCAAACAGGTAAGACCTCGGCATAATCTCATGGGGGAACCTCATTCTGATCATGTTTTACATTGTAAAGTAAATATTAAGTGGCTGTTTGACTGTGCAGTTGTTTTATCCCCAACATAATGCTGTTTTCACACACATGAATGTCTTCTCATCTATATCATGTTCTGTTAAATAATTAAGCCTATTTAAACTAACACAGACTTCTACTCAGCCAACAGAAAGAAGGCAGATGCCCGTAAAACGAGCACACTTTTCTGACCGCCCTGCATACAGTTGCCTTACTCAAGTGCTCAGCATCTCCGACATTGTACAAAAAACTTCCATTTGCAAAGAAACACAGCGCAACACACAATATCTGCTGGGATGTGAGAGCATGACTACGATTGGTAATGTTGCAAATGTAAGGACGGATTAGGTTGTGTATGTAGATGATGGACTGTGACGTGAAACGGTACCGCTCAAAAAGATAATTGTGTGGAAATGCTAAAACATCTATGCGCGGTCTGATAACCATCTCCCGACGAATATTTAATTCTCTGCGCAGTAATGCTGCACCTTCATCCACGGGATCGTTATCAAAAGGACATGCCATGTTAGTGAAAAAAGTCGCCACCTACTGTGCCTAATGGACTTCTAATATACTGACTCTGATTTTTTAAAATGACAGACGGCAGAACTAGGCTACGCCAAAACTCGCCTGCTGACTGAATGAATGAGGAAATCAAATGGAGTGTGTGGCTCTGAAAGAGGGCGGAGACAGAGAGAAACTCGAGGTTCATTGAGAAAAACCTGGTCCCGACCAGGTTAGGTTCATAGAGTCTGTTACTACGGTAACTGACCGAGAGCTTAAGTTACCTCTCTCTCTGAAACAGGCTAGAGTTACCCCTCTTTCTCTGGTTTGAGTTACCTCCCTTTTTGAAACGGAAAACTCAGAGTTTCCCTCATTTCAGGGTTAACAGACTCTGAGTTTTCACTAAACCTGCTTTGTGAAACGGACCCCTGCTGCTGTTTGTTTTGTATGTATTTATTTGTTGTTGTTTATTTTAACCAAGCAACAGGTCCATCATCAGACCTGTAAACAAAACACAGACTCAGATGGACACTAAGAAACAAGCTGTGTTTAATGTGGATCAATGACATCACAGCTGATCAATACATGTCTGTCTGCTTCCAGGTCATCTCCATGGTAACAGGGGTCACTGCTGAGTCAACACGACTCATCAATAATAAACTCTCCAAAAATATGTTTGTTTATTTGTTTATATTTTACACATGAAATCAAAGACGTCAGCATGCACAGCGCAGAGAACACCTGGGCTGTGACGTCACAGCCTGGCACTCTGAGGACAGCGTTTACTCAAAGCAGCGAAGAAGAACGTAAAGCTAATAAAATAAAAACAGAAAGAGAAGAATAAAAACATGACTTTTGATCTACTAATTGATCTACAGCTGATCGATTGACTTCATCATCATCATCATCATCATCATCATCATCATCTATTGCTGCTGCTGAGTCACTGCTCAGTCACATTCCACGCCCCGCCCCCTCCCGGTGATGTCAGAGATCAGAGTTCAGGTGGGTGTGGCTTAGCAGAGCGGCGTCGGGGTCGTCAGTGGGCAGTTCAGAGCCGAAGAAAGGCTCCGCCTCCAGCTCCAGCAGGGAGGGCAGGTCAGCCCCGCCCTCACCTGCGCCTGCTGGTTCGGACATCAGCGCAGGTGTGGCAGTATACTGCACCAGCTGCTTCCCTGGACCAATCAGAGGAGCAGAAAGTCACCATGACGACAAGAAGTCAGGGTCCTCACAGGAAGTGAAGGATGAGTGTGTGTGTGTGTGTGTGTGTGTGTGTGTGTGTTAGGGCTGTCAAAAGCACCATGAAATTGAGTTCGAATGATATTCTAATTTATTATTATTATTTTTATTTTTTTAAATAAAATGCTTATTGCTGACGCAATATGAACGTGACACTCGGATGAAAACACCCGTTCTGACCTCACTGAAGTGCCAGGTATGACCAACTTCTGCCTCACTATCTGAGCAATGTTTGGATACTTCAGTGCGTAGTTTTCCACCACAAGAGTGGATCCTGATCGGCTCGTAGTGGTGTCTCATTCTGGTAACGTTTCATCTCTTCTTCAAAAAGAGTAGGCAGGGAGGCAGCAGATGCAACACTCTCCATGTATGTCTCCCCGAACAGGTCACACATCGCAGACAGCGCAGTGGGTGGTGTTGGCGCAGCGGGCTCCTCCGTTAGCGCCTCTCCCTCCGTCGCTGCGTCGCTCTCTGGCCCGGCTTGTGCACGAGCCATCTCCGCCCGAACGGGACTCGCCATGATATACAACATTATTGATAGCATTAATTAATTATTAATGATATTCAAATTATCAAATTTTGGTTTGAACTTAAAAAAATATATATATATATTCAAATATATTTCCAACTTTTTTTTTTTTTTTTGACAGCCCTAGTGCGTATGTGTGTGTGTGTGTGTGTGTGTTACCTGCGTTGGTGGCATTTGTGTTTCCGTCATCTCCATTGGGAACATCTTCAGACAGCAGCTGAAACAGTGACATCACGGTCACACATGTAACATCATCATCATCAACACGCCAACAGGTGGAATTTAGAAAACAAGGGGTGTCGGTGGCTTAGTGGTAGAGCAGGCGCCCCATGTACAAGGCTGTTGCCGCAGCGGCCCAGGTTCGACTCCGGCCTGTGGCCCTTTGCTGCATGTCACTCCCTCTCTCTCTCTCCCTTCACACTCATCTGTCCTATCGATTAAAGGCTTAAAAATGCCCGAAAAAATATCTTTAAAACAAAAAAAGAAAACAAACATGTTCATACATGTATTCAGACCAACTAAGGTTCTAAATCCTTCAGACCACCATGGGTTCTAAATCCTTTAGACCACCATGGGTTCTATATCCTTCACACAACCGTAGGTTCTAGATTCTTCAAACCACCATAGATTGCAGATCCTACAGACCACCATGGGTTCTAGATCCTTCAGACCAACATGGATCCAAGATCCTTCAGGCTACCATGGGTTCTAGACTCTTCAAACCACTAGGGGCTCTAGATCCTTCAGACCACCATGGATTCTAGATCTTTCAGACCACCATGGGTTCCAAATCCTTTAGACTTACACGGATTCTAGATCCATCAGACCACTATGGGTTCTAAATCCTTCAAACTACCATGGATTCTAGCTCCTTCAGACCACCATGGGTTATACATCTTTCAGACCACCATAGGTCCTAGACCTTTTAGATCACCATGGATTATACATCCTTCAGACCATCATGTGTTCTAGTTTCTTCAAACCACCATGGGTTCTAGATGCTTCAGACCACCATGTGCTCTAGATCCTTCAGACTACCATGGGTTCTAGATCCTTCAAACCACCATGGGTTCTAGATCCGTCAGACCACCATGGGTTCTAGATCCTTTAGACGAGCATAGATTCTAAATTCTTCAGAATGCCATGGGTTCTAAAGCCGTCAGACTACCACGGGGTCTACTTCTTTCAGACTTACATGGGTTCTAAAACCTTCAGACCACCATGGGTTTTAGATCCTTTGAGCCACCATAGATTATAGCTCCTTTTGACTACCATGGATTCTAGCTCCTTTAGACTACCATGGGTTCTAGATCGTGCAGGCCACCATGGATTCTTGATTTTTCAGACCACCATGGGTTCTCGAGATCCTTAAAACCACCATGGGATCTAGATCATTTAAACAATAATGGGTTCTACATCCTTCAGACTACCATGGGTTCTAAAGCCTTCAGACTACCCTGGGGTCTACTTCCTTCTGACTAACATGGGTTCTAGATCCTTCAAACCAGTATGTGTTCTAGATCCTTCAGACTACTATGGGCTCTTGATCCTTCAGACCACCTTGGGTCCTAGACCTTTCAGACCACCATGGGTCCTAGATCCTTCAGACTACCATGGATTCTAGATTCTTCAGACCACCATGGTTTCTACATCCTTCAGACTACCATGGATTCTAGATCCTTCAGACCACCATTGGTTCTACATCCTTCAGGCCACCATTTTCTGTAGATCCTTCAGACTACCATGCGTTTTAGATCCTTCAGACGACCATGGGTTTTAGAGCCGTTTATACACCATGAGTTCGAGATCCTTCCGACTGCCATGGGTTTTAGAACCTTTTATACACCATGGGTTTTAAGATCCTTCAGACTACCATGGGATCTAGATCCTTCAGACTTCCATGGATTCTAGATCCTTCAGACCACCATGGGTTCTAGATCCCTCAGACTACCATGGGTTCTAGTTCCTTCAGACTACCATGGGATCTAGATCCTTCAGACTACCATGGATTCTAGATCCTTCAGACCAGCATGGGTTCTACATCCTTCAGGCCACCATTTTCTGTAGATCCTTCAGACTACCATGCGTTTTAGATCCTTCAGACGACCATGGGTTTTAGAGCCGTTTATACACCATGAGTTCGAGATCCTTCCGACTGCCATGGGTTTTAGAGCCTTTTATACACCATGGGTTTTAAGATCCTACAGACTACCATGGGATCTAGATCTTTCGGACTTCCATGGGTTCTAGATCCTTCAGACTGCCATGGGTTCTAGATCCCTCAGACTACCATGGGTTCTAGTTCCTTCAGGCAGGAAGTAGAGCAACAGCAGCCTGTACTGGACCTTAAGGAGTTGAATCACCTGCTCTTATTGTGAAAATCACTCAGACAGGAAATAAGAAAAATCAGGTGTCACACTCACAGAGTCCAGACTGTCAAGGTCAAAGTCTCCGGAGGGACAGGAGGTACTGAAAAACTGGACAGAGACAGAGACACTGAATGAATATAAACTGCCTGACGTGTTTGTACAGACCATAGCGTGACGTCACCGGCAGACTGACCTCCATGAGCGGAGACGTGTCGAAGGTGAAGGCTTGCGTGTTCAGGATGCTCTGCAGGTTTTCTAGACTGCTGTCGATACTGTCGACGTGATTGGACAGTTCAGACCTGAGACACAGAGACGGACACATGGTTTAAAGTCACAGTGTCAGTCTGGTGTTTTTCTTCTTGTCATTAAATCTGAAGTTCAGACTTAAACCACCACGTGTCAGTCCACTTCCTGTCCAGGAAATCGGTTCCTGCTGAAGACAGACATCAGAGTCTATGATAGTCTATGATAGAGACCACATTATAACAACACTATGATCATGTGAGGCTAATGTGGTGATGAAGTCATCAGTCATAACAAATGAACTAAAGGACACTCTACTTCCTGTCTTATACAGTGTCAAGCTTACTGAAGGTTCTGATTGGTCACATGTCAGGAGTAATAACCAATCAACAGAGACTGGAGTTGCTCGACTGAATGAGCAGACCATGAGTCTGACAATATACAGCAGGTGTTAAACACGTGGACGTGTTGGGGACAGTCATCTGGACATGTTGGGACAGTTGTTAAGACATGTTTGGGACAGTTGTCTGGACTTCTTTGAGACAACCAACAGGACATGTTTGGACAGTTGTCTTGACATGTTGGGACAACCGATACGTTGTGTTTGGGACAGTCTTTTTGATACAAGTCACAGTAGTTACTGGCCGTAGCTATATATATATATATATATATATACACTAACTCTAACTATATATATATATATATATATACTTTACTATATAACCGCAGCGCTACAGCAGTTATTGGACATAACCTCAGCTCTATGGCAGTTATTGGACATAACCTCAGCTCTATGGCAGTTACTGGACATAACCGCAGCGCTATGGCAGTTACTGGACATAACCGCAGTGCTACAGCAGTTATTGGACATAACCTCAGCTCTATGGCAGTTACTGGACATAACCGCAGTGCTACAGCAGTTACTGGACATAACCTCAGCTCTAAGGCAGTTACTGGACGTAACCACAGTGCTACAGCAGTTACTGGACATACCCTCAGCTGTATGGCAGTTACTGGACATAACCTCGGCGCTATGGCAGTTACTGGACATAACCTCGGTGCTATGGCAGTTACTGGACATAACCTCGGCGCTATGGCAGTTACTGGACATAACCGCAGTGCTACAGCAGTTATTGGACATAACCTCAGCTCTATGGCAGTTACTGGACATAACCTCAGTGCTACAGCAGTTATTGGACATAACCTCAGCTCTATGGCAGTTACTGGACATAACCTCAGCGCTATGGCAGTTACTGGACATAACCGCAGTGTTACAGCAGTTATTGGAAATAACCTCAGCTCTATGGCAGTTACTGAACATAACCTCAGTGTTACAGCAGTTATTCGACATAACCTCAGCTCTATGGCAGTTACTAGACATAACCTCTGCGCTATGGCAGTTACTGGACATAACCGCAGTGCTACAGCAGTTATTGGACATAACCGCAGCTCTATGGCAGTTACTGGACATAACCTCAGTGCTACAGCAGTTACTGGACATAACCTCAGCGCTATGGCAGTTACTGGACATAACCTCAGTGCTACAGCAGTTACTGGACATAACCTCAGCGCTATGGCAGTTACTGGACATAACCGCAGTGTTACAGCAGTTATTGGAAATAACCTCAGCTCTATGGCAGTTACTGAACATAACCTCAGTGTTACAGCAGTTATTCGACATAACCTCAGCTCTATGGCAGTTACTAGACATAACCTCTGCGCTATGGCAGTTACTGGACATAACCGCAGTGCTACAGCAGTTATTGGACATAACCGCAGCTCTATGGCAGTTACTGGACATAACCTCAGTGCTACAGCAGTTACTGGACATAACCTCAGCGCTATGGCAGTTACTGGACATAACCTCAGTGCTACAGCAGTTACTGGACATAACCTCGGCGCTATGGCAGTTACTGGACATAACCGCAGTGCTACAGCAGTTATTGGACATAACCGCAGCTCTATGGCAGTTACTGGACATAACCTCAGTGCTACAGCAGTTACTGGACATAACCTCGGCGCTATGGCAGTTACTGGACATAACCTCAGTGCTACAGCAGTTACTGGACATAACCTCGGCGCTATGGCAGTTACTGGACATAACCGCAGTGCTACAGCAGTTACTGGACATAACCTCGGCTCTATGGCAGTTACTGGACAAAATCACAGTGCTACAGCAGATACTGGACATAACCTCAGCTCTATGGCAGTTATTGGACATAACCTCAGCTCTATGGCAGTTACTGGACATAACCTCAGCTCTATGGCAGTTATTGGACATAACCTCAGCTCTATGGCAGTTACTGGACAAAACCGCAGTGCTACAGCAGATACTGGACATAACCTCAGCTCTATGGCAGTTACTGGACATAACCTCAGTGCTACAGCACATACTGGACATAACCTCAGTGCTATGGCAGTTACTGGACTTAACTTCAGTTCTACTGCAGTTACTGGTCGTAACCTCAGTTCCACAGTAGTTACTGGACATAACCTCAAATCTATGGTGGTTACTGGATGTAACCTCAGTTCTACAGTGGTTACTCAACATAACATCAGTTCTTCAGTAGTTACTGGACATAACCTCAGTTCTACAATAGTTACTGGACGTAACCTCGGTTCTACAGTAGTTACTGAATATCACCTCAGTTCTACAGTATTTACTGCATGTAATCTCAGTTCTGAATATGAGAACTATAAGGACAGGAAGAGGGAATGAGGCAACGTCTGGATGTGATAGATGTGATTAGATGATGGTTAACAGAGAAACGTGACCAGAGACGTGGGGCGGCAGCACACTGATGTGGTTTGAGTCTGAACACACTGACAAGAAGAAACACATCACCAGACTGATCCTGGAAAAGTGACTCATATTTCAAATGATAAGGATCATGGAAGTTCATTGATTCACTTGTCAGCTCGTGTTGACACGAGGCGCCAAACGTCAGGTGAGAATCCACCTGCAGAGGGAGGGGGGCGGGGTCTGAGGGAAGCACAGGGGGTTTAATAACACATCTGAGATGTTCAAAAGTAGCTACCATCTGAGAACACACACGTCTACAACATGATCTACAACCTTTGAATAAAGACACCTTTAAAATTCTGTCACAGGTGAAATGTATTCTGGATGCGTACGGTCTGGGACAATATCTGGAGGGTTGACATGAAAAAGGGGAACAAAGACTATGCAGAGACAATAAATGAGGGACAACCATGAGGGTAAAGGTCAGGGGTCTTATTCATTCAGGGTAGGGACAGTTGTCAAGACATGTTGGGGACAGTCAGGACGTGTTGGGGACAGTCTAGACTAGTGTTGTCACAGTACCAAATTTGGGACCCACGGTACGATACCAGTGAAATTATCACGGTTCTGAGTAGTATCACAATACCATGGCAAAAATGAGGCAAATGTGCCTTTTGTCATTTATAAAAAGATAAATCACTTTTCTATAATACATCAATGATATTTCAATGGAATAAATTATTTATTGACTTATGCATGCTTCAAAAACAGCATCAATAAGTGATTAACACAGGGGGAATCAAAATAAAATAAATAAATGAAATAAAATTCAACCAGCCACCCTCCTCCCCTGATAAGTTAAGAACAGTCCCTTAAGTGCGGTGAGGTTTGTGGACCATTACCTGCCACAAAGAGAGAAATGTGAACAGCTCACATACAGTACAGGCCAAAAGTTTGGACACACCTTCTCATTCAATGCGTTTTCTTTATTTTCATGACTATTTACATTGTAGATTCTCACTGAAGGCATCAAAACTATGAATGAACACATGTGGAGTTATGTACTTAACAAAAAAAGGTGAAATAACTGAAAACATGTTTTATATTCTAGTTTCTTCAAAATAGCCACCCTTTGCTCTGATTACTGCTTTGCACACTCTTGGCATTCTCTCCATGAGCTTCAAGAGG